AGTCAGGAGCATCGCTGGGTGTGGCCCCAAAACAAACTGATAAAAGTATCAGGGCCAGAGTGAGTACAGGGGGTAAAGGGTCCCCCAAGGCAGTGCCAGGAATGACTCTGTTGGAACAGAGCCAGGCGTAGCCCTGGTCACCACCAGGGATGGCCCCAAACAAGAGTGTGGAGAAGGATGTTCCCAGTAGGAAGAGATGAAAAAACAGGTTAAAAACAAACAAACAAAAGAGGGGCCGGAGTGATAGGACAGCAGCAGGGAGGGCATTTGCCTGGCATGCCGCTGACCAAGTTTGATCCCCAGCACCCTGTGGGGGGCTCTCCCAAGCCCTGCCAGGAGTAATTCCTGAGCACAGGGCCAGTAGTAACCCCTCAGCCTCGCCAGATGTGACCCCAAAAAGTCAAAACAAAACAAAAATTAGCCCCCAAGAATTACCTTAAGGGGGGAGCAGAGAGGGGAGGAGGCAAGGAAAAAGGAGGAGGCAGGGAGGAAGCCCTGGGAGCTGCAGGAGGGAGCCTTGGGCTGTGGCCCCCTGAGCACTGCTGGGCGTGACCCCCAAACCAAGAGCGCTTAACTAAGCAAGGCAGGGTGGGAACAGGAGTCAGGGAGGGCCAGGTTCTGGAAGGCAGAACCTTCAGAGCATGGGCTGACGAGGCTGATTAGGGTCGGAGGCCACGGAGACAGTGTCAGTCTGAAACAGAATTACCCGTAGATGCACAATCTCCTGAAACCGACTCACAAATACACGGAAGAAAGGGATTTAAAAAAAAACATGTCCAAGTCGGCTCTGGTGCTCTGGTTCCCGGCTGGCGTCTCCTGGACTCAGTAAATCTCAGCCTCTCCGGATCCAACCACCGAGTTAGAAGCAAAGCAGGTCGGGAGAGGGAAGGGAGTCCTGGAGAGGTCATGACTCGATTTCCTTGTTACTGTGCGTCCCTCCTCTGGGCCGAGAGAGAGCATGGGAGAAACCTCAGTATTCTCCTTCTTTTATGGGTTTGGAGCCACCCCCCCCCCCCTAGTGGTGCTGGTGCTGTGGAACCCAGGACTCTTGCATGCTAAGCTCTGACCCGGGGTTGGCCCCTGGCCCTGAAGGTTTAATCTGAATTTAATGCTTGAGGCAAGAAACCCAGGCGACAGCCCTGTTCTGTCTCTCACAGGGGGGTGGTGTCCACAGACAGCAGGTTTGGGCCTTAGGGCAAGGGAGGGCATGCGGGGGACATGCTGCCCATCACAGGTTAACCGATGGCACGGACACACCCCCAAAACTATCCCTCTGACTCTGGGCCACGCTCCCATGCAAGAAAGTAAAGGTTGAGTGGAGAGCCAGAGCCAAGGGCTGAAGCTTTCCGTGCGTGAGGTCTTAAGGGGGATGCCTGAAACTGCAGGTGAAGCCCCCCAGCTCAGTCCAGGGCCCAGCACCACGTGGCTGGGCCCGACCACTGAGCTATCTGCCTTGCTGGGTCAAGAATCTCTGGAAATGGCCCCCCCGAGGCACATCTCCACAGACCCGACTCCCCACCTGCCGGGCACGACCCCCACCTTCATAGACGTAACTACCCCCTCAGTGGCGAGCCCCCCCCCCAGACATAGTCCCCACATTCAGTGCTGCAGCTCCCACATTCTGTGGCATGGCCCCTGCCACCAACTGGAGACGCCGTGTCCCAGCAACGGGGCCCTGGCCCACGTGGCGTCCGACACTTGGGAAATGAAGCCCATGGGAAATCTGGTGCTTTGGGTTTTCTGCCTGGCACTAAGATTTCATTCTTCCTTAGCAGCAAGCCACCACGGGGGGGCTCAGGGGAGCAGGAAGGCCGGGGATGAACTTAGGGTCACCTGCGCGGGGGCTGTTTCCCAGCTACGCGGGCTCCCTCCCCAGCTACTTCCGTTCTGAAAGGTTCTGGAGCTGCCAAAGTCAAGTGGCGCTGACTGGCTCCCATTTCTGCCCATCAGGCATCAGCTTTGGGTGGGTGAGGGCCAGAGGCCCACAAGCTCTCAGGAGACAGACCCCGGGGACAGCTGCAGGCATCACAAAGCTTCTGTGGACACTGGCCATCCCTGGCCATTCTATTCCAACAGCTCAGACCCATCAGCAACGTAGGCACCTCGGGAAGCTGGTTATCAATGCTGGACCTCCACTTGCCCTCATCTCTTCCTCAGCAGCCCGGGTCATGGCTGTCTGCCTGCTGGTTCCGAGCAGCCCTGCCCCAGTTGCGATTAGGAAGTTGGTTCTGATAAGCACAAGAGACTAGGCCGGCTGGACCAAGATGGTCTGGGCCGGCCACCCCAGTTGTTATTGGCCAGTTCATGACTGCTGGACCCCGTGGCCTATGGGTTGACCGAACTGGCTTTGGAGTCTGTGAAACCCATTTCTTGGGTTTTGGTGCTCCGGGCTTACTCTGGGTTTTAAACTCAGGGATCATTCTTGGGGTGTCGAGGGTTGAACCCAGGTTGGTCACATGTAAGATAAGGCTCCCAGCCCTCTGCGCTCTCTCAGGCCGTGGGGATGGTGGGGGAAACAACGCTTCTTCTGACGGATGTTTGGAAGATTCTCAGGGAGAAGCCAGGCCCTGGACACCTGAGCCACAGCAAAGCCCCCGTGACCGGGAAGCACAGCCTGCAGGTCCCAGCTGCAGAAGGAACGGTGCCCAGAGCCACAAGACGGGTCACGTCCCTCCCGCCCCAAGCATCGCGCCCTTGAGGTGCACTCCTACCAAGGATGGACGGAGCCCAGGGTAGAAAGATGTGGAACCCAGGCAAGCAAGGCACTAGGACCCCCAGCCCAGCTTTTCACGTGTACCAGAGCAGTGAGGAGCAAGAGAAGAGACGTTTGCCATGTTAGTACGCCCGGGGCGGGGGGGAGGGGGGAGGTAGGGGCAGGACTCAAAGCTCCACAGGCCCGCTGTCCCCTCCCTGGTGCCTCCTTCCTTTGTGACAGGGGATGGATCCTCAATTCTCAGCGAGTGACAAGACCGGCGTAACAGCAGAACCACAAACAAAGGCGCGGGCATGCAGGCGACATCCGGGCCCGGAACCGCAGGTCTGACTGTGAACTCCACTGGCTCAGGAGGGCCAGCCCCTGGGGCAGCAGGGACACAGGCCGGGGAGGTGACAGGACTCGGGTCTAATAATAGACACCAGCCCACCACGGGCTTCCAAGGGCTCCGAGTGATTGTCCACACACAATCTGAGAACCTATTAGGTTCTTGCTGGGTTAATGAGGCCCCGTGCTGGGGAGCCCGAATTCCCTCTGCAGATGCCATTAACCAAGCCCCGGCAGGGGCTGGGGTAGGGAGAAGTTCTGCAGGGAACCTGCACCTGGCTTGGGCAGACGCAGGGAAATTCGCCTCAGGAGCTGCAAAGGGTGCCTGGAGGGGTGGGTCCCTAGCATGCCCTCCTTAACGTTCTGCCCGCCAGAAGTCGGCCAAGTCCACGGGCGTCCTGAGATGGTTTCCTTGGCTAGTAGTAACTGCCCCCAACCCCAGCCCCCCCTTTTTTTGGTCCTACATTCATTTCCCCCCCCCTTTTTTCCCAGTAAGGATGTATGGAAAATTTTGTCTCTGAGAGTTCAGATTCTACTCCTGATCCAAGGATGTTTTTAAAACTGTTTTTGCTTTTAGAGCAAAACCGAAACAGAATGAGGGGGAAAAAAGCCCCAAAAAGTTTGGATTCTCCTATTTGTGCCAGCCCAGAAAAATCTGCTGAGTATGGTCCAGGGCCCTGTGGTCAGCCGGAAGGAAGGGATGGAAAATTCCATCCCCAGAGGGAGCAGGGAGGACAGGAAGAGGAGAGGAGAGGTGGGAGGGGGAGCGGAGGGGGGGTCACTCTCAGAGGGGTCTGACCTTTCACCCCAAAGCTTCCTGCTGGACATGCAGAGGCTCCTCAGGGAGCAGCAACATTCTAGTCCCTAAAATTCTGGGCCGCCCTGCCACAGCCAGGTGGGTGCTGGACAGTCCTTCCCCCAGTCTGCCTGTCCCCAGGCTAACCCTCACAGCCTCAGGGTCGTGCAGCAGCTGGGGTATGAGGCGCTGGAGAGTCGGGGTGAGGCCAAAGGCATGGAAGGAACAGCTCTTCGGGTGGTGGAGCGCGGGGGTCCAGGGCTGACCCAGAGTTTCGGCTTTACGGCGACTTGACGTCAGACCTCAGGCTGTTCCCCAAACCCCCATTCTCACATCCTTGTTCCCTGCACCCAGGCATAAGCCCTTGGCAGGCCATGGCCACCTGCCTGACACGCAGCACCCAGGGGCTGGGGTTAAGTCCCAACCACCTGGCGGCTATTACTCAGGACCCTGACAGACACGCTGGGCCCACATGCATGACGACGTGTGCGCGTGTGTTCAGAGCATGTGCATACATGTGGACACATGTGTATGTTGCGTTCAAGTATGTGCGTGCATGTTCATGTGTGCACGTGTATGGACACATGTTGGTGTGGATGCCAATTGCTTCTCCTCCATGAGTGACACATGCCCAACCCTCGGGCAGGCAGCACAGAGCCCTGAGCAGTGTCAGCCTACGGGGTGATACAGCTCCATGAGCCCCGACCTACATGGACTCTTTGGAGTCCCACCAGCGTCTGCCAACCCACGTGGCCCCCAGAGCTGAAACAGTGCAAAGCCATATCCAAAACTCCCATGCACCCCATTCCTTGCCCTGACCGCGAACACCCAGGGTACAGTCTCCCAAAGGAACCCCAGGACCCAAAACCCCCAGGAGCGCCAGAACACCCAGCGTCTTTCTCTGGGCAGGAAAACGCCTGCCAATGGTGCCACCATCAGAAACAGGATTTCCAAGAATTATCCTCCTGCCCCCCAACACCCCCAGGAAAACTCGGAGGCCCTCTGAGAGCCCAGGGCCTACACAACACAGACAAGGGGGACCCAGACACAGCCGGAACTCGCTGGAAAGAGGACCCCACTTCCACCTCTGGGGGCGGGGGACCCGCGAGTCAGGGGACGCGCCGAGGCCTGGTGCCAGGGGGACTGCCTGCGAGCGGCCCTCACCTATGTAGAGCGAGGAGTCCTTCCGGTGCACGTGGTCGTCGATGTAGGAGACGCCCAGCGGCTGTACGGGCGTGGCACCGATGCCCAGGAGCACCTGGGCCCCGATCAGCAGCAGGTACATCATGTTGGTGGCTGTGCGGCTGCGGCAGATGAGGTCCGGGTCGGGCCCGGGGTCGCCGCCAGAGCCGTTGGCGGCACACACATCACGGCCCTCGGCGCCCCAGCGGATCTCGCCAGCCTCGTACTTGTACTGGTGCGTCAGGAACTCGGGCAACGCCGACAGTAGTGCACCCAGGGCCATGACGATGCCGCCGCAGCCAATGAGGCGTGGCCGGTGCCCACGCGCCCCAAAGTAGCTGACGAATAGGATGAGCGCCAGGTTCCCGATCTCAAAGCTGCTGGCGATCACGCCCACATCAGTGCTCTGCAGGTTGAACCTGCGCTCCAGCGTGGTCAGGACACTCACCTGCAAAAGGGGAGGGACACAAAGGACACCTCAGTGACCACCCGGGGGTCTGCAGTGGCACCAGGTCATGCTCAGGGCGGGCGGGGGCAGTTGCTCAAAGCTAAGTAAGACTTTTAATACTGGGAAGCACACCTGACAGTGCTCGGGACTGACTCCTGGCTCTGTGCTCAGGGGGCCCTAAGGGATGCCAGGGATCGAACCCAGGTTGGCAGCATGCAGGGCAAATGCCCTCCCCGCTCTCCTATGCTCCGGCCTCATTGGTGAGGCTCATTCTAGGCATCTTGGGACAGCAATGGGCAGGTAGGAGGATGCGTGTTGATGCCTGGGGCTCCTGAGAGCTGATTCACCTCTGTCAATGGACATGCTCACTTCTGAGAAGCTCCCTCCACCACACACACACACACACACACACACACACACTCAGCAGCTGAATATTGAACATCGGGTGAGCCATGTTCAAGGCAGATGCCCTACTCACTGAACCATCTTTCTGGCCCTCTCATTCTCATCTTTAAAAAAAAAAAGAGGAACCAGAATGATAGTACAGTGGAGAGGGTGTTTGCCTTACACGCAGCCAACCCGGATTGATCCCCAGCAGCCCATACAGTCCCCAAGCACCTCCAGGAGTGATCCCTGAGTGCAGAGCCAGGGGTAAGCCCTAAGCATTACCCAAAAGTCACAAAGCCAAAAAAAAAAAATCCCAAAATGAATCTCTGGATGGAATCGCTTCCTCCTTAGAAATCTCCTCATTGATTCTCTCATCGCCCCTCCCCGCAAGGCTCATCAGCCCATCATGGAAAACAGATTCTCCAGCCCTGCTGGGTACAATTAATAGAATTTCTTTCCACTTTGTCCCTGAGCCTGAAAGTCATTACTTGGAAGGTTCATCAGCTCCAGCTGATGGTCGTGAATAGCCTGAGACAGGCACCTTCTCACGCCACTGCACACCTTCTTCCCGTCAACAGTTTATGTGGGGCTGAGTCTCTTATCAAGGAAACTTTAAGAGCAATGGGAATTCAGTGGCTTCCTGGCATCTGGTTCAAATGGAGAACGCCAAAACACACACTGCTCCGTGTGACACTCCAAACACTCCACACGCTCACAAGGCAACGACGGCACCGAGCAGAGCAGCTCTGTATGTGGCCACGGAGCTGACACAGGTCCACAGGGTCAAACGATGATATGACGAGGGTCCAACCCAGAGAATCGGGATGAAGAGGAAGAGGATGAGGACAAAGTCATGGCAGCAAATGGAGTCTGCAGTTGGCTAGTGCAATGGTCATGAAAAAGCCATTTAAAGACTCGGAGCTGTGAGCTTAGACGGAGAGTGTGTGAGTGCGGGTCTAGGAAGGAGAGTGGACACCCCCGAGGGACAGCAGCACTGTCCACCACACCACAAGATAGGGGAAGAGGGCCACACAGGGAAAGTAGAGAGAAAAGGCACAGAGAGAAAGAAAGAAATGAACAAAGAAAGAAAGAAAGAAAGAAAGGAAGGAAGGAAGGAAGGAAGGAGAAAGAAAGAAAGAAAGAAAGGAAGGAAGGGAGAAAGAAAGAAAGAAAGAAAGAAAGAAAGAAAGAAAGAAAGAAAGAAAGAATAAGAGCTCCCAAGCCCACAGTGTATTGCAAACCATGAGTGTAGTAGATAGTCAAGAAGCTTAAGTGATGGACGACGGAACAGAGGCATGAAGAGGACCGTCCACTCACCAGCAGACAAAACGGCCACAATCTGCGTGAAAATCTACAGAAGTTCAACACACATGAGGGGTCTGACCTAAGGCAAACAGCTCGTGAGAAAACTTCTATCAGAAACCATAAAGGCCTGAAAGCTCTGGGAGTCTTCCAGTGAAAGAATGACTGGGAGAATTCCTGGCGGATGGATAAGACGTTCGCCAAAAGGAATTCCTTCTCATGGGTGATGAGTGCAGCAACTCAAACAGATGCAAATGTCCTAAGGGGAAAAGAGGACCTGAAAAAGTCAAACCCGGGTCTGGGGAGGGGGCTCAAGAGGCTGCAGTGCCCACCACTTCCATCCCTGGTCCCATGAGGTCACCTCCAGGCGTAGCCCTGGCGACTCCCAGCACCGCTGAGAACTCTGCACCTCCAGGCCTGAGCACTAACCATCTGGCCACATGGCAAAGTCAAGTCCCACTGAGAGCTGGTCTGAGCCCCTTGAGTATCCCTCGTAAGGCCTCCCACTCCAAAACAAGCAAATAAATCAAGACCCCAACAACTAAATAGATAGGTTAAGTATGAAGTTGTTTTTATTTTTATCAATTAATTTTTATTAAATTGCATCACCTTGAGATATACAGTTACAAAGTTGTTCATGATTGGGTTTCATGAACCTTTCCCTCTTTCCTTGAAAGGCAGAGATCACACACAACAATAGTACCTTAATGTTGTACTGAGTGCTGAAAGTAGGTAAAGGGACAAACATGAGAACCTTTTAGGACATGCAATGCAAACCATAATGCCAAAAGGACAGAGAGAGAGAGAGAGAGAGAGAGAGAGAGAGAGAGACAGAGACAGAGACAGAGACAGAGACAGAGACAGGTAGAAAGACAGGGAGAGAGGGAGAGAGAGAAAAGGAGAAAAACAGGGAGAGAGGGAGAGAGAGGGAAAGAGAGACGGGGAGAGAGAGAGAGGGAGAGAGAGACACAGAGAGAGAGAAGAAAAGTGTTAGGTTGGTAGGAGGGAAACTCCTTGGACATTGGTGGTGGGAAACGTGCACTGGGGAAGGGATGGGTGTTAGAACACTGAAACCCAATCATGAACAACTTTGTAACTGTATATCTCAAGGTGATCTAATTTAATAAAAATTAATTGATTAAAAAAATAAAAAGAATACCTTAGTCTTGGATTCAAAACATGGACAGACAACAGGTGTAAGGTAGCAGGTAGCGGGTGAGCTCGGGGGGCTCGGAGGTGAGTTGAAGCAATGCCCCCACATTTCACAGGAAGTTAACACTGATGACTTAAGATTACCAATGGAGACACAAGCACTAAAAAAACAACTAGAAACATTGTGGGACACCTGATTACAATGAGACATGAAAGATGAAACAGCCCTATGTTTAACATGCAACAGCAAAGGAGACAGGAGATATAAAACAAGTTAGGAAAGAATAAGATAGAGGGGCAGGAGAGAGAGGACACCAGGCAGGCGTTTGCCTTGCAAGTGACTGACCCAGGTCCGATCCCCGGTACCCCTAGGGTCCCCCGAGTCTGCCAGGAATTATCCTTGGGCTTAGAGCCAAGAGTAAGTCCTGAGAAACCAACTGCATGGGTCAACGGAACACAGGGCACCAAGAGAGAAAGCAAGAATGATAAGGATAAGGACAGGAAGAGAACGAAGCAAATTCCAGCCAGGAATGTTCCGGGGTGTTCGTGTCCTTCTGGCCTGCAGCAGAGCAACTGGGTAGGAACTCCTAACGGGCAAAGGCGACTCGAGCGCCCTCTCTACCAGTCTCATGGACCAACAACAAAACGACAAGCAACCCAGTGTTCACCAGGGACCACTAACTCATCTGCAAGGCCTCTCGCCGAAGAAGGCACGCAGATGTCTCGAGACCCCTTGGAAAGCGGCTCAGCTTCGTTGTCTTCGGACAAAGGCACCTGAAAGCCACAGGGTACCCCGCCTCCTGGCTTGACAGACAATCGGGAAATACCTGCTTTCAGGTGGGCCCCCGAGCCCCACACAGGATGGGAGGAAGACAGGAGATGACAGCCACAGCGGGAAAACAGCTGGGAGTTCTTCAGAAGGAGAGAAATATAATCTGGCCAGAACCCCACCCCTGTGACCCTCTGCTGGAACGCCCCGCAGCTGCTCAAGAACATTGGAAACCCGTGACCTCACGGAGCTGCATGTCACAGCCTAATCCGTGATGACCCCGAACGCAGGGGCTGCAGACAGAGTTTGGGGCACCGAATCCCAGCCCTGCAGATACGTCAACACAAAGTCCCCTTCCCCATACAGCCCAGAGGTCCACCCGCGGTTGGTTAACAGGGAAGCAAATAATCCAATATCGAGCAATTGCACAGTGGGTAGGGAGTTTGCCTTACATGCGGCCGACCCGGGTTCGATTCCTCCGTCCCTCTCAGAGAGCCCAGCAAGCTACCGAGAATATCCCCACCCGCACCACAGAGCCTGGCAAGCTCCCTGTGACATATTCGATAAACCAAAAACAGTAACAACAAGTCTCACAATGGAGACGTTACTGATGCCCGCTGGAGCAAATCGATGAACAACGGGAGGACAGTGACAGTGACAATCCAATACGGAGGATAGCGTTGGACTGGGACACAGACGAGGTGAACAATACAAACTGTGGTGCCACAGTTCAAAGGCAGACACTGAGCTAAAACGGGGGCGGGGGGGGGGGGACGGTCCCTGAGAGACGCACAGAGAGACAGGTGAGAGAACAGGTGAGATGGAAGGGGGAGGAGGGGGAGGGGAGAGGGAAGGGGAAAGGAACGGGAGAAGGCCCAGGGGGAAGGGAAAAGGAGGGAGGAGGGAGGGGAGGGGAGCCCCAACCCGACCTCAGCAGGGGTGGCCCCAGTTGCCTGCATCCCCCTCCTCGTGTGTCCCTTGGCAAACTCGGGGACGGGACGCAAGTGTTCAAGGCCGCTTGGGACAGCCTTCCACCCCCCATCCCCTCGCTGGCAGCCAGGGGAAGGCAAGGTTGACTCATTCAATGAAAAGTAAAAATACAAACAAAAAAACCCAAAACAAACAAAAAACATTTGCGGGGGGGCGGGGCGGTTTATTTTTTGGGCCCATCTCGGTGGTGCTCAGAGCTTATTTCTGGATTGGCTTGGGGGTGGGTGGGTGGGAGGAGGTATGTATGGGGTGCTGGAGATCAAACCCAGACCAGCAGTGTGCCAAGCAGGCTCTCCGACAGACGGTCTCTCCAGCCTAGTAGGAAATTTTCAAGAGGAATAACAGGAAGCCCCTGACCGTTTTTTCTTCCCTCAGGACTTTTCCATTTTTTTCCCCCTTT